GATCTTCGAATCGGATAATTGGATCCAATTAGAAATCGGATCATACCTATCCGATCCGAGAAGATCCAATCCGATATGTATTATATCTTTATAAATATAAATACATATATATGTTATTTATTTATTTATAAATATATTTTATATTATATTTTATAAAATTATTATACTATTTCTTTTTTTATAAAAAAGATATATATATGATAAAAATAATTAAAAATACTTATATATAATAAAAATTTAAATATATCCTAATTCAAATCCGATCTAATCCATTTACTTCCTTAAATAGAATATAATTAAATTAAATCCGACCCAACCCAGCCACTCTTTCACTCTTAGTCGAGTTTACCGTAGGCAGGGATTTGCAAAGGCGTGAGTGTTGATCGATTGGGGGACCATTTCGATGGCCCTACCTCCATGTACCATGCATGCTCATATTCTATGATATCCGGTTCTCTGCCTCTATGCACTTCACAAGCAATTTAAGATGATGGACACTCCCTCCCATCCATGTGAGAGTTGTAGCAATTTTTTTTTTTTTAACGATTACTTCATTTAACATTAACACCCACCATCTCCATTAGGATTCTCTCTGATTCACCACTTTCGAGTCTCTCGTTTACAAAAGCGGTGGCCATCTCCTGATTATTTCCTGTCTTGCTGCTGCTACCAGTCACAACATTCATTGCAAAACGGTGAATAACCAAATTGTCGATCAAGAGAGAATTTGACTAGTCAGTCAAATCTCTCTCTCCCTCTCTCTCGTATCAAATTTACAGGGTTAGGTAAATATAATCAAGTTAGTGAATGACATTTCCTGTGATCCGTACTTCCATCCCCACAGCCTTGAAAGAAAAAAAAAATTAAAAGATGAATTGAAAACATTCAAAAAGTTACAATAATACCTTAATAAATACCCCAACCAGTGTCTCCATTCTCCAATTCAATTTAAAAGCCTTTTTCACTTGACAGAGACCAATCGACAACGAAACAGAGCAGTTTTCTTTCTTTCTTTCTTGAAAATTGAAGTAGTTTCCGTGGCGCCAATCTGACCTCTCTCCCTCCCCTTCTGTTCCTGATTCTAAGTTTCTAATCTTGAGCTTATTTAAAGAATGAAACTCTGCATTACCGTATAAGACGTGGCACATGAAAATTGGTATCGGACCCATATTTTTTTTGGTACCTGCGGAAACTACAAAGGCTACACAACACAAACCTGGAATAGCCCTTCCCTGAATATCCCCTACAAGAAATGTGGTTGATACTTGAGACCCCTTACAAGATTTGAGTCATTCCTTCCCTGAGTAGAGCTGGGATATCAGAACCATATTTAATCCGCTTTGGAGAATTGGAGTTCGGACATTTCTTTTTTTTAATCAAAAAGCTTACCACCCATTTCAAGATGACTGATCAATTATTAAGTTATACTACCATCTGGGCCTGGTTTTTAAGAAAGAGAGAGAGAGAGAAATTTGGACGTTTTGGTGCTTGGCCTAAATGGAAGAGAACCGGGTGTATCGGCCCCAAATTGTCTTGTTCTAAAACCAGTTATATTCTGTTCCGCCCTGTGTCGAGTTGTCTTCTCAGTTTCCCTTTTTCTTCTGTTTTTATCAATTGCCGATTATTCTCGTTATCTTATTATTATTATTATATTTTTAAAGATAAGATCATAAGAATTCTCGTTATCATATTATCATTTTAATTTCCTACTGGGTTTGGCTCAAAAATTCAAATTCAATGACAGTGATAGATATTTTGACAGGTAAGGTAAGTAGTAATTTTCAGTTGCGAGAAGAAAGCGAATAATATTAAGGGATTGCGGTTTCCACTACACCCAACCCCAACCGTGAAAACAGGTGACACGTGCTCGTGCGCCCTCCCTCCTCCTTTTTTTATCTTCTACTTTCCATTTCTCCCTCCCGAATCCCAACTCCCAATTGGCCTGCTTTTTTTAACTTTTTGGAATGACGGATTAGGATGAAATGCTATCGCATTCAAATACGGATCTGACCATCCCGTATCAATAAGGATCGTCTTATATCATTTTCTCTATATTATAATTCAAAGAATTATAAATCTGATCTAGTATCCTTTATCCTTTAAGGGCATTCTTTTTTTTAGATGATAAGAGGAGAAAGTTGGTCGATGAAATTTTAGTTTTTATTGAATAAGAATTTTATGTTATTTTTTTAATTTTATGTGGAGAATATAAAAAGTTTATTTTTTGGGTATCACTTATCAATTTTTTATATGGTTAAATAATTTTTCTATCTATGAAAAAAATTAACAACACTTGAAAGGGATAAAAATGTTTTTTATAATTATATAGATTGTTATGATTAAAATAATCTTTACCTTATTTATATGAGAAATAAAAATATGAATAAATTTAAATACTGGAAAAACCAAAAAAACTCAACTAATGCCGACTGTCCCAACTTCAATACCACATTTAAGTTTTGTGACGTTTACTTGGGCACCCAATTTTGGTAAATTGGCTAAATTGTGCATGTTGTACCGAAGATGAGTGACGTTCACTTGTGGCCTACCTGCACGATCGATCCCCGTTGGATTAGAATCTGGGATATAGATGGATATGCTTAAATTTCAATTATTTAAATTAAAGTATTCTTCTGGTAAAGGAAATTTTTGTTTCTACGGGAAGATACGTAAAGCGTCAGCATTCGGCAGGAGATGTAAAGAAAGGAAGATGAGACGTTTGAGCTCTTTTTAATGCTTTTGGGCCCTGTTTCTTTGAAAAAAGAGGAGATTAAACAGTGGATGACTTTCACAAGAAACATTGCAAAACCTAGGGAAAAGGCATTGCCCCCACCCCCACTCGTATTTAGTATCAGTAAAGCAGCAGGTGAAGATTGTGACTCTTTTGGATTTAGTGCGCTCTTGACATAAATCCCCCTCGATCTTTGGGTTATAAGTCATGGTCCAGCCTATGTCCCATCTCTGATCTCTCTCGTTCTGTCTCTCGGTCTCGGAAGAGCAGATAGAGAACAAAACACCCTTATTCATTGCCCATCAAGCAAAAAACAAAAAGACTGCTAAGAGAGAGGTTAAGACGTCAGTTTGGATTCAGTGTGTTTGGACTCCAAGGGATTTTTTCTTGAATCCACTGAAATTATGATACATCATTTCATGTTTAACTGACCATCACTTGCAATCGGTTAGAACTTAAATAAAAATTGATAAAAGATATAAAAAAATCTACATTCTGCAACTTGCAAAAAAGACTTACAGAGCAGTTTCTGCAAAGCCCTGTGATTCAAACCTTCTTCTCCCAACCAGTAACAACAACAAACCTTATCAATGGTGTTCTAACTGCAGTAAAACGATAACTGTAGATTTTAGCGATGACAGCAATCGTATTAACGGAAAGTTTCAAACGTCAAAATGTTCAAAGGTGAATGAAACCCCAAAATACAGAAGACAGAAATTGAGAACAAAAAGGCTAATGAACCCGCTGATTTGTGTCCAAGAATCCTTTGTAAGACTGAAGATAATAACTCTTAGTTCATTTTGGCAAGTTGTCAACACGGACCAAGTTAATGAAGCCACTGATTTCTGTCCGAAAATCCCTAATACCACTTTTTCGTATTAAAATCCGAAACCCAAGAATCCTTTGAAAATAGAAATTTTTGAGAGCTTATCATGAAAAAAAACCCTATGTGTGACAGTGTGACTGCTTGAATATATTTTTCTTGAAAAGATATATTTAAAAAATCGGAGCTATTGTTTTTACTTTCAGAAGTTTAGTATGGAGGAAGAAGAAAACGTCTTGTGTCTTGCAAATTCAAAACCAAAACGGGGTTTATCTTCCCATTAATGGTAGGAAGAGTAAGGCTTGAGTTGCGTTTGGATTGAGAATGTAAGGATTTGTCTTACAAATCCAAAGCCACAGCCGTGAGGAAGGTTTTGTCTTCCGTTAATGGTTGGGGGCGAAAGGTTTCGAACTTTCTGTTAAATATTTAGTTAGATTTTTTTATAAAAATTTTATATTTATCAATTTTTATTTAAAAATATTTTTTTCAATAAAACTTCAGCCGGTTCAGTCTAGCACCGAAAGACGTGTCAAAATTTTAGTGGAGTCGAACAAAAAATCCCTTCGAGTACAAACGCACTGAATCCGAACTGCTAAGCCCTCCATTCATTGATTCAAAATCCAGTGGCTGGTCATAACTCATATTCTTCTGTTAAAAGAACTCGTACACTGAAACTGAACTAAAGCCTGCCCCAGAAGGACCATTGAAATGCAATCCCTATAGCTTATAGCCATTACAACCCGGCATTGGCTACGAGATCATCATAATGTCAACAGAGGAGTCAGTACAACTGGGAAAATTTCCAATCATTCGTTTTCTTATCCCAAATGGAAAAATAAAATAAAATAAAAATCACTGGCATCTGTCTGATTAAGCCCAATTAATTTCCTTCAGCTCTACACTGAGTTCCGCATTTGTCTGCATTCAGGCCATAAACTCTGGATAGGTATTAGGGAAGCCTCGCTTACGGGGACATCGAGGCTCTGTATACACCCATTAAAACTGAATTAAATTAAATTAAAGCAGGAGCAGATTATATAATGCAAGGCTGTGCCTGTACTAGTTTGCGGTAAGTAGTAAATTGAATCAAATCCAGTGGAAATCCCAAAAACCTCTAGAAACTGAACTTTCGGAAGACGTAAGAACAACTACACCAGATCTTAAAACTCGCTGCTTGACTCCTTTACGGCTGTTACTGTTAGTTGTCCTTGTGAGTCATATATGCGTTAATGAGTCAAAAAAGAAAAAAAAAAAACAAATACAAGTATATATATGCAACAAGAAGGTACTAAATAACTGCAAAGACAGAGTTTGCACAGGTTAGGCGTTAGGCTCTACCGACCTACACGGCTACACCCCCCTACTTCTTCTGCTATCTGCTCTGCTCCCTTCCCTGGCTTGAATAGCTAGCCCTCTAAAGTCCTAGGCTTTAGTTTTCCTGGTTAGGCATGGCGTGGGACAGCCATATCTCCTTCTGTTTTTCTCCATTCATTCATTCATTCAAATTAAGGTAAAACGCTTGTCAATAACCAATGACCCTCCATAAGAGAGCATATATATTTCTATATATAAATAGCACGAACAAGTGTTGCCCTGATAACTAGGTTACACCCACGGAGGGATAGAGAGATAGAGATGGACTGTCTTTCCTCCACACCCAACTCATCTGCTTCTTCAACAGTAACAATGGCGGCCCAGGCCAGACCCAAGGAGAAGAAGAGGTGTTGCAAGAGAAGCAAAGGAGTGAAGCTGTCGACGGACCCACAAAGTGTAGCTGCCCGACAGAGGAGGCACCGTATTAGTGACCGGTTCAAGATCTTGCAGAGCTTAGTGCCCGGAGGCAACAAGATGGACACCGTTTCCATGTTAGAGGAGGCCATTCATTATGTTAAATTCCTCAAGACCCAGATATGGCTGCATCAAGCCATGATGAACTTCTTACATGATGACTCCTCTTCCCTCCTCTCTACTCCAGCTCTTTCTCCTAAACACTTGCTCTACTCATCACCAGCCTTACCAACAGTGCCACCACCACCAGCTCTTCCATCTTTTCCACTTACCAGCTTTCAAGGAAGCGACAGCATGTTCTCTCATGAGCCTATCAACTATTAGCTTAGACCTTGTTATTTAGTAGTAGTGGTCTATTGACTTACTAGCCCTCTCTCCTCTTGTTTGTGTTGCCCGTATATGTGAATGATGTATTTGTAAATCTATCATAATCATTCAGTCGGCCATCTTGTTTACGTAGTTTATGTATCATGTTTCCTTTTTCATTTAGTCAAATGGTGCATTTGAGTGTTGACGGGTTTCTGTTAGACTGCCAGCTTACCAAGCGACGAGTTCAGACCTTGTATGTCAATTTCGTTATATTATACGAGCAAACCGGATATGATCGTTCTGATGTGAGTTCAGATTGTTTTTCCCTTTTCCAAGCCAGTTTGATTATGATTTGGATCATTGAAGTTGGGTCCTATAATTTATTTCCAAACAAGCATTCGTCCTGGTCCCGTAGCTCAGTTGGTTAGAGCGTTGGTCTTATGAGCCGAAGGTCGCGGGTTCGAGCCCCGCCGGGACCATAAATTTTATACACTAATTCGTATTATAAAACCATTTTGGTCCTCTTTGGTAGCTGAATGACAATTTTTACGTTACCTACTTATTGACAATTTTTCTACTGTAAAAGGCGTCAATTGGATCCATAATGGTTTCCTTTGCATTGGTGTAGTCAAACACTTACCCGGTTACACCCCCCCCTCTCAAAAAAAAAAAGGAAAATTGTTTATTAGCTCCCTGAACTTTAAGGGTTGTGATCAAGTCAGTCCCCAAATTTCAAAACGTGTTTATGTAGCATCTTTAATTTTCAGAATCTGTCTAATTGGTCCCTATTGTTAATGGTCCATCAATTATTTGTATTGTGTGATGATATGTGCCACTCAATATTTTTAAAATATCAAAACTATCCTTGAAAGAAGAAACTTACCTTGAGACTGGAGAGCTGTGTCATTACTACAATGATGTCGGGGACTGACGACAGTGACGGAAACATTTTTGAACGAACCAACACGGGTGCCGGGAACTGACCAAGTACTGGCAATGGCTGAAACTGCCATTGCTACAGTTCCCTGTATATTCTTTAATTTCTTTTCTTTTTGAATTTTATGTAGCTAACGAAAATTTCTGTATATCCTAAAATCCGTCTTAAATAGTTGCTGCAACCTTCTTATCTCAGCTAGGATGCAAGGGGAAATGATGTCTATCTTAGCATTTACAAGGGGAGGGTTCTATTGATTGTTAGTGTTGCATGGCAATGATATAACTTAGTTTCTACTTTGCTTATTTGAAAATTTACTTGCGTTTGGATTTGACTTCATTTACTTGTATTTGAAGTTTCGTTTAAATTGATTTATGTGGAAGTGGCACATAAAGAAAATTTGATGGCATCTGATAGATAGTTTTGACATTTTCAAAATCAACTGAGGGACTATTAACAGCAGAGACCTATTAAACACATTCTGAAAGTTTAGTATACCGCATAGACACGTTTTAAAGTTCAGGGACTGACTTGACACAACCCCTAAAATTCAGGGTACTGATCAAGAATTTTTCTAAAAAAAGACTCAAAATAGTAGAACAGTAAAATAGTAATAACTAATAAATTGATACATATAACATGTACTGCATAGGTCTCACCATGGAAATCTCCAATTAGAACCAAATCCACTGCCTATTTCTTAACCAGGCTGATAAATCCCGCTCCATTCGACAGTCTATGGTGAAACAAAAACTAAAATTAAGCTGCATCTGAGGACCCTTCTGAACATGATTGCATCCATCTGCAAATCCTTTAATTTCTTGTAACCCCTTCAAACAAACCTATTCTCACTTCTCAAGAGAGGGCCATATTTTCATCTGTCAATGTATATGAAGGTATCATTTGGTGAAAGAAAAACAATAGAAAATTAGGCTTTTGTAATTAATGTTTGGATTATCAGATTGGGATAGATATCTGGCGTGTTAGTCAATCCTGGAATTTTCAAATAAAGTTGTGATCTCACTTCCAGGTTGCAGAAAGAATACTGGTTAAATTCTTCCTTTTCAATGAATTCTTAAACTATTCTACTTGTCTACCAAAATTAATGCCTCTAGACCTTGAAGACAAACAAGTCTTTCGGGCCATGCAAGCACTTCATGTACTTGATGTGTTTTTGCCATCTTTTAACAAATCTAAAAAACAGTGGCAATATGTTTTTATCGTTTGTTGTCATTTACTAACAAGAGAAATTGAAAATCTGTTCTTAGTTTTATGGTTAAAAAAAACTATAACTCATACTCTCATACTCTATCACATACCACATGTTACTAGTGCAAGATTCTGACAAACGGTTGGTTATTCATATGCCAGATTTGGTATTATGGGCTTTTTTACTATTTTTATTCCAGCCCATGTTAATTTACCACAGTCCAGACTGGACAAGCACACCCAATCTTGTCTTGTATAGTCCATGATGAATGGGCTACTTATTCCTTGATCCAGCCCCATTCCCCCCACCCCAATTTACTTCAGGATATTGGTCTAATCCAATCCAACGAATACTTTGGGCATTCTAGACTGGTCCATTTCAATGTCTGGACCTCTAATCTGTACAAATTGGTTATAATTTAGATTGGGTCCAACCCAAACCTACTCCATTGACACTCATACTCTTAACTTTTGTCAATGGATTGGATATTGGCTCAATCTGACCCAGTCCAATTTAAATTCATTACAAATGGATTAAATCCAATCCAATTAAATAAATACTTTGGACCATTAAGTCTGCACTGGTCCAATTTGAAATGTTTTCTCGGTCCGTCCAACCCATTCAATTTGATTTTGATTCGGATGGACCAAAAAGATCCCCCTGAACTTTTAGATTCCATCAAAGACCCCCTCTGTTAGCATTACATCTGTTAACTTCGAAAAAAAATTCACGTGTCTGTACATTTGTAAATCTCCAAATTATCCATTTTTTCAATGATTTTTAACATTTTTTATTTTCATTTGTTACTGGTTTAGTTGATATTAATTTTGCAATTCTAAGTTTTCATAGAAGTTTCTTGATTTATTTTGTTCAACTTCCATTTTATAAAAATTTCTTGAATGGGTATTTTGGTAAATTAACTTTTTCCGTTATTCAACTTAACAGAGAGGGCTCTTTATCAAAATATGAAAATTTAAAGGGTCTTTGTTGCAAATAAAAATTTAGGGGTAATTGCACTACCCAAAGTATGCGGTAGTAATCTGTAATTTACCAAACAAGAGGTTATGGAAAAGTATCTCTAATTTAAGATGCCACCAAGAAAAAAGAAAGAAAAGAAAAACAGTGATTTTACGAATGGTCCTGATTTCATCCATGTTTGTTTCATGTGTTAGATGCTTTACTGAAGACGTGAAATCACAATCTTAGAATAGTGTCATTAATGATTGAACTCACCATTGATCGATGATCCGATCGTCTATTGTACATTCAACTATCTATTGTCAAAGAATTTCCCGGCAGAAGAAGAAAATGAACCTTCAAGGAATGTAAGGAAAGAAAAAGAAGCAAAGTTTCTTCTACTACTTCTGAAAAACGGTGAAACGAGTAGGTTCCACATTTAATTGATATTTGATACAACAAAAAATTCAGTCTTATGTAATTCGACCATAATCTCATATTAATCACAATGGCCTTCCTAACGACTCCATAGTGACGGGAGATCGGCTTCCATCAAAGTAAGTCCGCAACCGCCTTTTGAAATTTCGCATTGGGAATATTTCTCCATAAAATAAAATACATAACTACAGTTTATAGAGATATTCTCAATGTAAGGTTGTAAAGGCTGTTTGAACGGGTTTTGCCCTCACCGAAGCCAAACTCAATGGACGGGTCATTCTTGACTTCTAGCCCATACTGGATTGGCCCTAAGCACCACTTTCTAGAAATGCCTGATTCTCTCTTTCTCTCCCTCTCTCTCTCTAATAAAAGAATGTTTGGGAGCTTTCATGGCTTTAGCCTTCAAGGTGGACCCAATACAGAAAGCCTGGTATATGTTTGGCAAAAGTAGCCTGGAAAGTCCGAATACATTTTAATTAATCAGCTTATAAAAGAATTTTCCAGTGAAGAAAGTTTTAGTAGCTCTTTCAACGTGGCTCAAACCCCATTTACGAAGTCTTATGCATTGATTGAGTTGCATTGCCCCAACCACTTTAGAGAAACAACATAAGAATTAAGATAACCTCACCACAAAGTCAATTTTTCGTCGCCTTTACTATTTTCTTTTTTGTTGACAAAACCAAAGAACAAAAGAAGACTTCATTTAAAAGATTCTTGAGAGTATTTACATCCAGACCTTGAGGAGGTAGTTGATAGTGCAAATCTGTTCCCTCCTTATAGACTTTGTAAGCTCGGCTCATTCTGGTTTCTATTTACATATGTGATATGAGATATATCAAAATATTTGGGCAAGTGCAAAATTTCATCCATATATTTAGTATCTCTCCATCACAATGAATCAGGAGGCACTTGATATGCATTTGTTTCATTGCTTTTATTCCCAGGATTAAGGCCAGCAATTCTTCTTCAGTAGGGGTTTGAACCATAGCTCTAGAGCTCTGTGCTGCTATTACTCTGCAGGAATGTTTGATTAGAATATAACTTGCAACTGCGTCTATGTGCAATAGGCATTTAAGACACATCAATATATAGAATGGTCTCCTTTCTTTTGATATTCGTGAGAGATTAAAAGGAAAAACGTCGCTCAGCTTCAAAATATATAGAATGGTCTCTTATTTTTTTTCTCACAGAATGGTCTCTTCTGTGACATATTGTGTATGCCTTTGTAATTTTTTTGCTGTTCGATATAATCATGTTTTCAACATGATTAAGCTGTTGAGCACCTTGAGAATGAATCGGGGAATAGAAAACTCAGTTCATTATCATTGATTTACACCAGTAATATGTATACATGTGTTGGTTACAAAAGATAAGAACTAAAAGAGATAAGATAAGCTATCTACAACAACCATGAGATAAATATTATCCAGGATATGATAACGTGATAGCCAGCCATGCATGCATCGGCTGTTAGGATAGACGCTATCCCTTGACAGCACCCTTCAATGTCAACGGGTGTAGACAAACGTTGAGCTTGGGAGTGAGCGCTAGAAAACATGAAGGCAAGGCTTTGGTGAAAATATCAGCCACCTGATCAACAACTTTGTCTCACGGTGAGCTCAATGTGTTTAGTGCGAGAACGCTGAACAAGGTTAGAAGCAATAAA